TTATAGAAAAGTTGAGGGGACCTCTGAAAAGAATAGACATATCCATACTTACCTCATCACGCAGTGATAAAGGGCCTGGACAAATTCAAGGAACAAAGCTGAGAATTGTGTATGACGCGTCAGCTAAATCAAAGGTTTGAAAATAATTAGTCCCTAAACGACTGCCTTTTACAGAGGAAACCCGTTGCTTTTTGAATGACTTGTGTGGAAAATTTCTGCTAAAAATTTCGACTACATAAGATCGGTTATTTTTTCCCGGATATAGAGAGGCTTTCCTCCAATTTGGGTTGCAGAAAGATCAAAGAGATGTCACTCGTTTCATAATGGTTAAAAGATATTGAACACCCGACATATCGCAAAACTCAGGTACAAGAATTACCGGTTCTGTAGGATCCCCTTTGCCAATTGTGTCAAAGCCCTTTCTTATTGGGAAGCAACAATTGATTATCACTTGGAGTGCTATAACAATGAAATCGCCGAGAAAACTGAGAGACTAGATATTTATATGGACAATGTTGTAACGGGAACAGAAAACGTTGAAGCTGCCAAAGACTTGTATATTAGGTCCAAAAGAATTTTCGACGATGCCAGCATGAATCTTCGCGACGGTGGGCGCTCTAAAAAACAGAGACGTGACGGAAAGTATTCCACCTGAAAACAGAGCCAATGAAAACTGTGATTAAAGTGTTAGGTCTTGAATGGAACAGACACAAGGATACATTGGCGATACAGAAAGTGCATAAATCGACAACTCAGTGTGAACTAAGCGTGTCATTTTGAGCAAAATTGCCTCTGTATTTGACCCTCTAGGCATATTTGCACCAGTTACGCTTAGAGGAAAAGTACTCATTCAAACACTGTGGAAGAAAAAAGTTCGATTTGGGGACCAGCCAATTTGATGAAGAAGAACATTGTTGTTATGGGATGGGGAAATTCAACGAGGGTCTTAGTTTTAAATAAGTGGGGAAAATGCCACCCCACGATGCCCTTTTAATTGAACAGGACATCGAAAAAAGTATTTTTTAAAAAACTCGACTTTTCGCCCAAATTTAAAATCGTTTTTCCACGACTTGAAACTCCTTGCAAATTATAGGGGTCCGGGTGTTTTGCCTTTTTTACAAGAGGGAAATAAAGATGCATATTTTACGAAGTTCATTTTTTCCAAAATTTTTCAGTTTTGCATTTTTAAAAAGGTTTTGTAAGGGGGAAAAAAAGCTTCCGTTGGGTTTTTTTAGAAATCGAGTTTAAAGAAATAAAAACCACAAAAATTTTTGGGCCTTCCATTATTTAGTCTAGGGCAATCCTGGGGATATAGCCGTTTGGGGTTTTCTCACAAAAAATCTTGGGAAAAAATTTTGTTTATGGTGGCATGGCCCTGAGTGGCTATTGCAAAGGACATTTCCGAAAGGACATTAGATGAGTTAACGTTTAAAGAAGATGATAGAATGGACAAAGCAATAGCAACAAAATGTAATGTAAAAGAAAAGAAGAGAAGTGAAAAATGTGTGTGTTTCTGCATATGGAGCAAAGAACGAATGTTTTCCTTTCGTGTGCTCCCATTTTTGAAATTTTGATCAAACAAAATATTCTTCGGTGACGAAGCTATTACGTGTCACAGTATATGTTAAAAGAGCAATCGGTAAAATGAAAAAAGGAAAAACTATGATTCACATATTCCAACATCAAAGGAAATTCAAGAAGCTGAAATAATGTGGGATAAAACATGCGCAATACAAACATTCTTTTGGACGTTTATGAGTCTATCAGAGGAAAAAAAAAATGCAATTTACCAGCAGCAACTGGGTGTGTTCATTGATAAATAAACGGCCTTTTGAGGTGCAAGGGTCGTTTAGAAAATGCTTGTTTAACGGAGTCTGCTAGACATCCGTTATTGCTACCTCGCGATGATCCTTTAACAATGTCAATTGTCGAAAGGGAACATAATCGTTTGCTTCACTCAGGTGTGTCTCAAACACTAAGTCAACTTAGATATCGTTACTGGATACCGAGCGGAAGAGCTACGGTACGAAAAAGTTCTTCATAAGTGTTTAGTGTGTCGTCGAGTTGAAGGCGGAGCGTATAAAATGCCTCTTATGGCTCCGTTGCCTCGTTCAAGAGTTACAAAATCAACACCTTTCAGTCATATTGGATTGGATTATCTCGGACCATTATACATAAGGGACAAATCAAACCATAAAAAAAGGTGTGGGTGTGCCTATATACATGTATGGTCACACGTGCAGTTCATCTAGAAATGGTCAAAGACATGGCCAACAAATGCATTTTTTAAACAGTTTTCGGAGATTCATAGCATGCAGAGGAAAACCACAAGAGGTCATCAGTGACAATGCGTTACATTTTAAAGCTGGCAAAACGTACAATTGAGTTGCTATGGAGCTTTCAATTTTGAAAAGTGATGATGTTCAAACCTACAGTTCTTTGTGAGGGTATTAAAAATGGAGGTTCATTGTAGAAATCGCTCCATGGATGGGCGGCTTCTATGAAAGACTTGTTGGTTTAACTAAAAGAAGTTTACGTAAATCTATTGGAAGAAAGTTATTGGACAGCGACCAGCTTATAACTATCATAAAGGAAGTTGAAGCTATTGTGAACTGTCGCCCATTAGTTTATGTTGGAGAAGATATAAACTCCCAATATCACGCTGACACCTTCACACTTCATATGTTTTGAAACCCGAATGTTGGGTTTCCTGAAATTGAAATATCTTCAGATGACCCAGATTTTAAGGTGATAGAAAGTTCAGAGGATAAAATTGTTGGCAATATGGAAAAAAGGACAGCGGCTTTTAGATTCCTTCTGGAAAATATGGAAAGACGAATATTTATTGTAGTCTTAGGGAAAGAACTCAAACAAATCTGAAAACAAGGAAAAACATTAAAGTTCAATTTAATCCAAATGTAGGTGATGTAGTGCTTATCAAAGATAATACTAGTAGAGGTAGCTGGAGGCTAGGAAAAATCATTCATCTGTATGTTAGTTCCGATGGTTGTGTTCGTTCTGCAGATATTGAAACTGCATCCAAAAAAGTGCTTAAAAGACCTTTAAGCTTACTTTATCCTATTGAAACTTCAAAACTTCTTATTCCAGAGACAGAGGATATAAGTCCAAACGCAAAGAAAGAAACTGGTATACGTCTCGAGAGAAAGGCGGCAAATTTAGCGAAATTACGCCTTAAAAATCTTCTTAAGTAATTAACAATCCATAGGTATTTAAAGACAATACTTTTGTGTTGTTGGGGAAATCCGCGTGTATGAACAGTTGAATTATTTTTGAAAATAGAGTGTGAATATATTATGCACGAATTACAAAGCATTAAGAATAATATTATGTTATCCTTGAAAATATTGTACGAATAAAATAGGGTACGAATTATTTTATATCACGTGACTGTAGGCGCGAAAAAATTTGGAGCATAGTTATAACACATGGTGATTTTACGCGCGAATAATTTGGAGCAATATTATACTAGTAAATTTTGGCGCAAAAAATCCCGTGATATCCGTGCAACTAACAGTATTCTGTATTATTGTGTTTCAGAAGCTCTATTGCAGTTCAGATAAAACCCAAGTAATTACTCATTTTTTGTAACATAGTTAAAAATGGATCGGCACGAGTGTGACTTTTTGTAATAAGGATTATAAGCAAAAGAGAAACTTAGTAAGGCACATGATGGAAAAACATCACAGCTCTCTGGGAAGTTTCAAGTGCCCTATCAAAGGCTGTAAAGGGACTAGCATAAGAAGGGATTATCTTAAGGAACATTTGAGAAGAATACATGGCATGGACGCTGAAAAATGCACGAAATAGTTCTTATTTATCTCGCAGAACTGGAGATATCACACACAATTTGCAAAGAAAAAACATTGACAATGATGCTTCAGAAGAAAGCGGTTTATTCTCCAAACGTATTCATGTGAATATTGCCACACCATATAGTGATCTTGAGGAGATTAGCAGTGACAGTCTAAATTCTGATATAAGTGATGTTGATTTGCACGCACTGAATGCAGGGTTTTACGGGACGCAGAATTCTGCGTCCCTATACGCATAAATATTGACATGTACGCATAAAAGTTATCCACTTGCGTCCAAGTGTACGCACAAAAAAAAATCCTAGTCAATACAATAAATATTAATATTTCTGATCTGTGTATTCTAAATTAAATAAACATCCATCCGCCCTTTCAACGGACCCGATTTGTTTTTTTCTGTTTCTACAGTCAATAACTTGGATTTACCGACTCTAAAAATAGTAACATATTCCAGGGTTTATTTATGTTAGCCAATCGATCGGCGTATAAATATACATAACGCTGTGTGCGGATGATTTCGGGCATGTTTGTTAGAACGCTGCAAAATGTCAACACAAGCTAAATTGTTTACTTTTTTTTCGGGCAAAAGAAAGAATGATGATAATGATCAATCAAAAGATAATAGCGTCTGTTCAACCGACGACGGAGAGTTATCAAAAACTGCATCTGTTAAACGAGAGCGTAAATTTCTATCGTCATGGCTAGACAAATTTAAATGGCTGCGTTACAAAGACGATAAAATGTTCTGCGACATTTGCATTTCCGCAAAAAGTTCCACAAACCCATTCACAGAAGGGTGCATTAACTTTCAATTATCAACCCTTAATCGCCACCAGGAAAGTAAAGTTCACATGAAAAGTTTGCAAACTATAAACATGCGTTCTAATTTTGAATCTGTTATAAAAAATGTTGCAGAAAAAAATGTCGCGGACAGCGTCGGTAAGATGAACGAATATGTAGTACAGCTGCGTACCGTATATACCATGGTAAAACGTGACATTCCAGCTGATGCATTTTGTGACTTAATGCATTTACAATGTTTAAACGGTTTAAAATGTGAATTCTACAAAAGACCACAAATAATAATGGAAATGGAGGAATGCATTGAGAAGGTGTTGAGTACTGACCTGATTAAAAAAAATTAAAGGAAGTAAATTTATTGGTGTTATGTTGGACGAAACTTGTGATATCAGTGTCCATAAAAAACTTGCTATTTATGTGAGATATATTTATAATGGTGAAATTTCCGTAGCTTTTGTTGGAAATGAACAAATAACAGATTGTACAGCGGCGGGTATAGAATCTGCCTTGCTTGAATTTCTTGTTAGAACAGGAATTTCAAATGATGATTTAATCAATGTATTAGGTTTAGGTACTGATGGTGCCGCAGTTATGACAGGCCGCCTGAATGGTCTTGGTGCCAAGTTAAAGGCAAGAAATAATAAATTGCTTCAGGTACATTGCATTGCGCATAGGTTAAATTTAGCAGCTTCACAAGCTGGCAAAGATATCAATTTCTGTAAACGGTACCATGAAATGATACATTCACTTTACAAATATTACTCCGATTCCTCAGTTAGATATGATAAACTCAGGGAATTGCAAGAAATATTGATTGGTAAGTCTTCTCAGATTACTGAACCAACATCAGTTAGGTGGCTGTCAGTTGAAGCTGCTGTAAAAATAATATTTTCAAACTATGGCCCAGTGTACCAGTCTCTGGAAAGTGACAAAACTGCAGGGAAAGCAGATGGTCTTCTTAAATTTATTGCCAATGCTAAGTTCTTGTTGTTTACAGCCTTACTTATTGATGTTTTAACAGTCATTGGCATACTTAGTTTAACCTTCCAGAAGGACTTGGTAAATATTTCACATATAAGAGCAAGCATATCAGCAACTAAAGCTACATTAGAAACAATGAAAACAAGATCTGAAACTGTTTCAAAGGTATTAAGTGAACTGGGTAATATTCCAGAGCCTGGTACAAAAAACAAGTACCAGCAGTTAGAGGTAATTGATAACCAGCAGACTAGAGATGAGTTCAGTAATCTGAGGCAGACATACATAGACAAATTAATTCTGAACTTAAATAATAGATTTCCAGAAGACCAGTTACAAACTCTGGAATGCTTTGATATAGTATTAAACCCTAAAAGGTACCCAGACCAAGCAGGTGACCTGCCAAACTATGGCAATGATCAGCTTTCTTCACTTTTAAGTTTTTATGACACATTAGTAAACAGTGAAAGAGCTAAGTCTCACTTTTTAATGTTCAAGCATTTTGCAAGGTCTCATAAAGCTATAACATTTGATAGCTTTATCAAGTTATTAATAAATGAGTATGAAGATGAATTTCCAGACTTTGTGTTACTAGGAAAAATAGCAATGATTATTCCTGTGTCTTCAGCACCATGTGAACGTGGATTTTCCGTTCAAAATGCCCTGAAAAATAAAGTGCGCAACAGATTGAATGCATCAAGACTTAACAGACTTATGTTCATAAACCTGATAGGACCACCTATTGAACATCTGGATTTTTTGCCAGCAGCAAAGATATTTGCTGAAGGTGCACAAGGCAGACTCTAAGACTAACCCTTGAAAGGCACATGAATGATGATAATAATTATAAGACAAACTTTTAAAGTGATATTGAAATCATGTATACTTATAAAATAATGAATATAAAATTTCTTGCAGGATAAATAAATGTTTTTGAGCAAAATTGAGTGGTCTTCATAGTCTTTTTCAGTAAAAATAATTTTTGGACCCCTAAAATTTAGGTCTGGACTCCTACTTTTCTAGTCTGTGCATCCACTGGACCCCTAAAATATCAAAGTGATGTAAAACCCTGGAATGAGATAACAGAAGAGGAGTTACAAGGTATTTCTCATGATAATAACAATAATCTAGAAGGCAAAGTGGTAATTGATTTTGATACAAACATGCAAAGCATTATTGATGACGCGTTCTGTGCAAAAGATAATATTGAAGAACTAATTGTAAGTTATGACGCTTCCTGTGCAAAAGATGATACTGAAGAACAAAGTGTAAGTGATGATGCGTCCTGTGCAAAAAATGATATTGGAGAACAAAGTGTTAGTGATAACATGTCTCGTGCAGATAGTGATTATATCGTAAGTGATGACGTGTCCTGTGCAAACAACGATGATGATGATGATGAACAATATGTAAATGATGGCTTGTCTTCTGCTTCTAATGATTACAGCAATGAAGACGAGACAAATGATGTGCTAAGTGCTAGTAATGACGAGAACATAAATGTTGAACATAGTGAATTATACATTGAAGATTATGAAGCAGATGACAATATGTGCAGTAGTGATGTATATGATGATGTTGATGATACAAATTCGGATACAGACGATTCAGAAATCGAGATTATTGATATATCTGATGAAGATGAAGGACAGGAAATAGAAAGACACACGTTGCGCACAGAAGTTGAAGTCTGGACTAGGACAGGTTATCGCTATACTACATATAGAGGGGAAGAACCTGTGTTTTGTCGCGTTGAATATGAAGACGATTACCATTGCTATACAATGCAATAAATGAATAGTAATGTACTGAGGTACTGACTTTTAGTTCAACAGAACAAGGGATGTTCTATATCGTATTTTGCTTAGACATTTATATAAAAAACCTACTGAAACAAGTTGAACTGTTTATATGTATTAAATGTTACATACATACATTGCTTTGAAACATATATTTTAAATGTTTATAAATTGAAAGATTTGTTTAAGAAAACAGGAGTATGTTTCGTTCATTATGTTTAATAATATGTTTGCCATTATGCCTATTTGTTTAAATTTATATGCGCAAGTATGAGTTTAATTTTCTAGGAAGAAGATTGTTTCCATTCTTGCATTTTTAGAATATTTAAAGAGCAATTTTAATATGTACTATTTTAGTGAAAGATATCATATTTTAATTTTTGTTGGCCGGAGTGTCGTGAATTACACGATTTTGTTTTACTCCTAATCATGAGAATTATGTCTGTTTGTATTTGGCGGGAAAATATTATATTTCTTTTACTCCAAAAGTTATGAATTGTGTATGTTTGTATTTGGCGGGAAAATATTATATTTCTTTTACTCCAAAACTTATGAATTGTGTATTTTGGTATTGGCGGGAATTTATTTCACTTATGAATTACTCCATATCATGATATTCATGACTCTTTAAATTGGCGGGAAGAAAACACTATATAAGTGAATTACAATCTTTATTTTGGTAGGAGCGTATAAATGTAGAAGCAAAGTAGTGTAAAAAGTGTAAAAGAAGTGAAGTGTAGAAGTGTTAAAAAAGGTTGTTAAAAGGTGATTAAAAAGTATAGTTGGATGTAAAAGTGAAAATAAAATCTGAATTTAAAAGTGAATTTTGTTGTCTTCAATGTAGTAAAAGTTAAAGGGAAATTAAAAGGAAAAAGTTTAGAAAATCTGCTACAGGAACAAACAATGTTTTATTGAGTTCAATTGAATTTCTAATATGGTTTTTGTATTTTCTGATCGCAAGATCAGTAAATACATAGCTAAGATCCACGGTCTAACACAAATTTTCCTAACAGACCTAACAACGCAAAGTAGTTCTCACTCAGAACTGCTTAAAAACCAGCAATTTAAAATAAAGAATAATTTTTAATGTATGCATTTAACGAATTACAGTGCATTAAAAGTTTAGAGTAGTCAATAGAAATATGAGGTTACAATCACAAATTTCGCGGATGAATATCTTTTTTACCCAATGAAAAATGTTCGGCTATTTCCGTAAAGTTTAATCAATGAAAATGCTATTTTTAGCTATGTCGATTACCGAATACTCCAGAGCGTAGTACACAAATAAATCTGACTGTCGAGTAGTGGAATATATACATGTCGTACTGTTTTGGCGAGAAGATTTTCGCTAAATTATTTTCATCAGTGTTAAACAACAGGTTTATAGTGAAGAAATACCTCGAAATTAGTAAGGATTACAAACACGGAATGGAAATTCTCAATTTAGAATTACAATCTATTTGTTATTATTCAAGCTACATATGTATTACTTCACTGTGGTGCAGAGGTAGCGCACTCGTTTAGGGTGTGAGAGGCCCAAGGTTCAAATCCTAGTCGAGGCAACTTTTTTTTTTTTTTTTGAAGTGTCTTTTTTAAGGAAGTAGCCACGATATGCAAGGATAAAGTATGGCTGTCATAAAAAATGAAAATGATTTTTGGATGCAACTCTAGTCATGCAAAATTCCAGATGTATCAATCTCAAACTGTTATAGACGCAGTCGCTGCGTAAGATTAATTATAGTATATAAAAATAAACTAATATAGGAAAATACATACAGATAGTCAGTATGATTTAGATTGCAAAGATCAGAAAATACCACAGAGGTTGCAGCCCTTTGATTCAATATTAATGTTGAAGATGTCTCTGTATGCGCCAGCGACATGAAGCGTTGACAGAGAGAAAAGGAGGTCAGCGCGCACAAAATTCCGACCAGCGGTCTTCTAGTCAAATATTGCCTATATTTTATTTCCCTCAGGCACTTTCCATTCATATGTAAAACCATAGATCTAGGCAGTGGCAAATATCTGATCAAGAACTAAAATGCAAGACAATGAAAAGATATAAAAGATCTATGTATAATACCTTTCAATTTTTGTTCTAAAACTGGTGATGTGGTTTTGATAAATGATGTTGTGGTTTTGATAAATGGTGATTGGTACTTTGGTTTTGATATGTGTTGATCTCATTTTGTTATATTTTGTTATATATTTTATGTCATTCTATCTATGAGGCTGTGATTGTGATATGTATGGTGATGTCTTTCTGATATGTGAAGATGGGAATTTATGTTTTGCTGAGGGAAAAAAATGCAAAACATTATTAAAATGGTTATTTTGATAGAAGATATTTTGTATGGTTTTATATACATGTATTTGATTCGGTGAAGAGTTTAATTTACTAATCTAGTCTTTTAAAATCAAGACTTGCAGCGGTCAAAGGACTGACAATACCTAAACTTGAGTTAAAGGGAGTTCTGATTAGACTTTGTTAAGATTAAGTTTAATCTGTCGTTAAAGTTCATGAGTCTCTCCGAACTCACATTGTGTGTAGAATTGGATATCATCAGAAAATATGCCTTTTTTCTGAATCTGTAAAACACTTTTAAAAAGATAATTGTGATACGTAACTTGGCGTTAAAATAGAAAATGCATGTATTGTGTCCGAGACATCTGAAAGAAATCACGTGCAGTCAAACCTACCTTTTTGAAATTGACAACGAGTCATACTAATCATATACCAGACTTACAAGAATCACTGCTTATGTAGTAAGCTTCATTAACCATAAGAAAATCAAAGCACAGAAGGCGCTGAATTTGTTTGGGTCTCAGAATGTCAGAAAGGTGAAGGTTGTGAGATTATAAACCAATTTGTTTTTGTTTAGTGCCACCAATGCTTTCCAGTGTTTTAACTGTAGTAAATTGGCTATAAGACTAATTGCAACACTGATAGTCAATTCAATGTTTATTTGACTTAAAAAATGAAAAAAAAATGAGTTGTCTCAACTGGGATTTGAACTCCAGACCTCTCGATTCATAAGCGAGCGTGCAAACCCCTCGGCCACGGTAAAGTTATATGTTAAGGGCCTGAAGAAAACCATATTATTCTAAATTAGGGTTTGTAACTATTATTATTTCGACGCTAAACCTGTTGTTTAACACAGATGTAAATAATCATGGAGCTTACTGTAAGCATGTATATCTATAAAGAATGCAACAAAATTAGACTGTGTAGCTGGTGTTCATTCAAGAAAAACCAACAAAACCTGTGTTTGGACAATCATGGCCTTTGTGTTGAAGGGGAAGGCTATAATTTGTAGATATAAGTGAAGGGTCCCGTTTTCCGATTTTATTTCTAAAAACTGATTGTTTTACACGGATGGTAATTAAGAAGCATCAAAAAGAAAACCTACACTGTGAGACATGCAAATGCTTAGCGATATTAGACACAGATAGATAGATACTTTTATTTCCTCCAATTTTTGAAGAGCTGATCTAATGGATACCACAAGGAAGAGCAACCGTGAACCCTGTTTTACAGCAATGTATTGTACGTCGACAATGTGAGGATAGCCCATATAGATTACCTGATATGTCGCCTTTTCCTAGCATAAGAGTAAATGCATCAGCTCCGTATACTCAGAAAGGACTCGAGTCCTTGTATGTAAAACATCAATAACTGAATGTAAAACTTTTTTTCTTTTTTTTTGTATACCTGTCCTGTGACGCGTGCGCTTCACTTGGATTTAGTACTACAAGTGAACATGTCTGCTCAGAAGTTTAAGATTCTCTTCCCAACGAGGAGTGCCAGAAATATACTGATATCAGAGAACACAAAACAATTTACACTTGTCAAAGATACATTGGATTTATCGATGTAAAAATAATAAAGTGTTATGATGTACAGAGCGAGGAAATAAATTATATTTTATTATCCAGGTGGATATTACAAAGGTTAGTGGGTTTGGTTAAGCGGCCTCTTTGTAAAACACTTGTTAGGAAGAGTCCTAC